ATGTAACGTAAATTAAAATGTTCCTTGATAGATTAAAAATAAAGTATTTATAAAATATAATAATATCTTTTAAGCCAACCCCACCTAGCGTGGGATAAGGACAGGAAGAAGAAGAAAAAGAATATCTTTTGTAACTATAGTTCAGAATAGGGCTTCAGGTGGCTTACATTCATATTAGACATAATTTTAAATCTATTATTGTTTATTACTGTTAATTATGTTTTATTGGTTATACTTAGGGTATTTACGAATTATTGCATGAAAATTAATACAGAAAAATTATGAAAACTTTGGATCACAGAGATTCAAAATTAATTCTTGTAACTAATTAAAAATCTATGTATCACAAAGAAATAAATGATTTGATTTATTAAGTACCTAAATCTGTGAGTATCAATAATTATATTCGTTGTTTTTTTTTCAGGTCTACCTACTTCCACTGACAAAGACAATTCAAGTATGAAAATCCGGATGTAATTAAAATAACAGAACATTATTTTTTTTATTATTAAAAAAAATGCTCCATCTTTAGCCATCAGGACTCTTGGAAAACCATATTAAATCCATGCACAGAGAAACTCAATACGTTTTCAGAGATTCGCTTAAATTACGACAAAAATTATTACAAAGAGCAACAACGTATTTTAAAGTAGTCGAATTCGTTAAAAAGGACGCCATTCGATTTTTCACATACGACTACAATATTCAATTATAGTAGGTATGAACATAATAGGCAAAGGGTATTTGAAAAATCTCGTTAAATTGAAAATTAGTATTTGATTTTTTGTTTCAAAATTAATTAAATATATTGACAATAAACTTTAACTAAAATAAATAAAAACTAGATTTAAAACACATTAATATATATATACGCGCACTTTATTAATAAAATAAAATCCATCACAAAAAAAGTCAACCATCACAGTCATACCTAATATAAACCTATAATTAAAAACCAAAACAATAAAGATGGCGGCTAAACCAGAGCCTATCGGGCCACGTAACGGTCACGAATTAGCACCATTGAACACCCGCGATGGCGTAGACAGACCCCAGGTCACCATAGTCCTCCAAGGATCCCGTGGCTCCCTCCAAAGGGAGATGCCAGGAGAAGATAGGGCAGCCTGGTCCGGGAAATTGCAATTCTTCCTGTCGATTATCGGATATTCGGTCGGCCTGGGCAACATCTGGAGGTTCCCGTATTTGTGTCAGCAAAATGGTGGAGGTAAGTTTTATTTTTATTTTATTTTTTTTAAAAAAAAAACTAACTCCTCGGTCCGAAAGCTCCGTGATTTTTTGACTCCGTTTCAGTGCGTTGGCGGTACCTGCTAGGTCACGTCTAAAACTATGAATTTACTCTCGGAGGATGAGTTCTATTCCGTAGAGTCTCTTGCCAGTCGTGAGCACTGCAACAGTGGTACGAGTATGGAAGTGTATGTGGCACCTGGTTGGAGGTGAGGGCTCTCTTAGTGTCATTATAATGATTTTTAATGACATTATCAATAAAAGGCCACAAAGCTGATATCCTCGTGAAAACGCCAGGCTCACTTCTTTGAGCACATCGCTTGTGCGGGACGCCAAATGATGTGATTCCTACCAGTAGACCTTTGTATACTAAAGGACCTCCACTGTCGCCCTGAAAAATTAGAACATGTCACTATTCTTGGCCGCTGATCAAAGTAAAGACTAGGTAAATGAATTGATAACATAGGCCGGACGTCCTGTCACATATCCTTTTACTGACAGACACCCTACAGAGATACAAAATAATAAACGGCACAAATGTCACTTTTGTTATTGGAGATTATCTTAAAAAAATTAATGACCTTTATAATCATCAGAATCATCATCATCATCATCAGCCTATCGCAGTCCACTGCTGGACACAGGCCTCTCCCAATGCAGCATTTCACCCGGTCCTTAGCTTGTCGCTTGCTACCGCCAGCAGCCTTTCGCAGATCGCCACTCTATCTGGCCAGAGGGCATCCTACACTGCCTTTGTAACGTTAAATAAAACAATGTTGTATAAAGAAAAACAACACTGACTATCGGAGCATTGGGATTTTATTTGCTACATTGCCCCCGTTGTATGTATGTATACATACCTACTTTTACTGTATTATTATGTACGTCGGTGTTTAATTTCCTGTATAGTACGTTAGCGTATATTTGGATTAGATTGCCTTGTGGGAAAGTTTTATGTCGGATCATTTATATAGATAAAGCGAACTATAGCCTTGGATGGGTAGACTGGATTGTCAATCCAATGAGGATGTAGGCCTTTGAGTCCAATACACGCTACATATACACACTCGATCCCGAAGTTGTCACTTCTTTATACGTTTGTTTCCCATCATACCTTACAAGTGTTTTCGCCGATATTTCCTCTCGCACAGAGCATGTTTTTAGTAATACTATGGCGGCGGCGTACGTGCCTATATATCTCATTGCACTTGTCAGATGCGTAGTATAGTAAATTCACTTTGTGGACAAGGACAGAAGCAATCTGCAAGAAAATATACATGAGCAAGAGAATTTGAAGATCATCTAGGTTTCCAGGCCAAATTATCAACACCATAGGTTTTTACTTTAGGAGATACTCAGATTACACCAGGTCGGCTACAGGTAATGCTAAATTAACTATGTATCTGATACCAACATACGATCATCGACTTTGAGGAATCAATGGAAGAAAAGGAATATTCGCTCTAAGTTTGTTAAGGATCTACTAGCAGTAGATTTACCTTGTAACAGAGTTTGTCCAGGGAAATACTGCCACCTGACCAGCAGTTATGTTAGCATTACTGTGTTCCGGTTTTGAAGGGTTAGGGAGCTGGTGAAATTACAGGCACATGGGACTTATCTACTTATGTCTCAGGGTGACGGGCGCAGTGGCAGTGTCTCTCAGAGTGGCGTTGCAAATATTATAGACAGGCGTGTAGCTTATCGTCAGGCACACGACTTGTTCGGCCCATCACTTGATATTATAAAAAAATCCACGTAACCCATAAACGTCTCACAACTATAGATCTCGCTGAGTTAAGGCCACAGTGGTCTAATGCGAGTTGAAACCTCACAAAGAACTTTCTCACATGCTGGTTGCCTGTTCATGCGGTCCTTCTTCATTAAATCAAAGTCCATATAATTTACAATAAATACCATTTTTTCCGTAGTAGTACCGAAACCCATAGCTTCAAGAGCTTCGCCTTCTTTAATTACAAATTCTGGACCGACCATTTTTATAGGCCAGACTCGTTGGTTGAACACAAGGCTCCTCTTTGTTCTAATCACAAGAATGTCGTAGTCCATCGTAGTGCTGTTCCAGAGAGGGTGTAGAAAGAAATCCATGATTTCATATGATTGTCCTCTTTTTAATAAACTGTCCGTCCCTACTGTTACGTGAGGACGGTAGTGATGAAATGCACTAGAATAAGAAAATATTTCAATCGGTGTAATAAGCCCATATCCACAAAAGGACAACTTTTCAGGTGAGAAGTTTAAAGATTCTACGAACGACATGAAAAGACGATATGTCCTGTAGGTTTCACGTTAAAGCAACTGATACTAATATGATTATTAAGTAGAAAATTCATCATCATCATCAACCCATTTATACCCCCCACTGCTGGGCACGGGCCTCCTCTCAGATCAGGGTTTAAGCCAGAGTCCGCCACGCGCTTATCAGTGCGAGGTTGATAGCGCACTTTCTTGCTGAACTCTGGAATCATGTTATATGTGTATTTTATATATTTGTATATATATTATATGTGTGTATATTTACGCTAAATATTTTATGTTTATAATGTTTATGTAAGTGTTGGTAGGTACCTTTTTTCTGTTTCTATTTTTTTCTATTTTATAAAAGTTTATTATTTTTCTCCCTACTTTTGACTTGCAGTGTTGCCCGCTTATGACCTTTGTTCTCACTACTTTGATTTGAGATAAGTTCATCTTTGCTCACCTTTTCTATAATTAATTTCTCTGATGTATTTTTTGGTGCAATAAAGAATAGATATGAAACAGGAATGTCACACTTTTTCCAAGTGTTGTGAACATTCTTCGACGTGCAGGTTTCACGACGTTTTCCTTCACCGGAAAGCTCATGGTAAAATTCAAAATTAAATTTCGCACATAAATTCCGAGAAACTCAGGAGTGTGAGCCCTTATTCGGACCCACGGCTAGGGCGCCGTCACTCGCTCGGGCTACGTAACAAGTGCCTACCGCTGAGTGTATCGCCGATAGTGCAAGCGCTCAGACGAGTCTTTCATTTAAATTACAATCCTTATACAACCCCAGGATTCGATTCCGCACGACTGCACACGGCGGGCAACGTCATTTTCACCTCTCTGGGCGCGTGCTTAGGTTCCTTTTTCCTCGTAATGAGCGCCTGGTTTCATTAGTCAGATTTACTAGGCTATTATAGCGAAGGTATTTTCGAAATTATATGGAAGTGATGTATCTATTACGTGAGAGGCGGCAGATCAAACCAAGGCTCCCATGCTATGCTGCCATCCGCTAACTAAAACGTATGTAGAAAATTACGATAAAATCATTCTTACAAGAAGCAATGCGCGGCTGATAGCAAGAATCTTTGATGTACAATCACAGCTCCGCAAAAATGCAATAGAGAGTGGTTCGGATGGTATATCGCCAAAAAAGGATTTTCATTTATATAGGCTCGCTTTCTTGACAATCCTGAAATCAGATTTTTTTCATTTATCCTCAAACATACTAACAAATGGACGACTGGTCTAATACCAAAACCTCGAAAAAAGTGTCCGAAATTAACCTATATAAACAATCATGTAATGGGTCTCTTTCTGTCTTGTGTGAACGCCATGTGTAGGAAAAGGACAGTTAGCTACTATTTGATTATTTTGATTGCTTCTGTAATTTCTATTTACGATTAATTTTAATATAAATATATACTACTACATTTTTAAATGATAACTATGATTATACAATATATTTACAAATAGACAAAATATCTGAACATTTTTATAGAAATCAAAGTTATCGTAATAATTTTAAAATGCACTATCAAAGGTTTTTAGGTTTTTAGCTGAATAGCAGTTTTAGCCTAAAGGGCAATTTGCTGTATTGAGTCAAAGTTGTAACACGGCGAACATTTTGACAAAGACGTTGGAGTTTAAAAATATTGACATTTATAAAAATGGAGTTCTTTATTGGAATTTGTGATGTCTTTTATTTTATAATACCAAGTAACGGAAAGAATAGGTCGTGCGCCTGATGTTAAACGACCTACCTGTCCATAGCAGTTGCAGTGTCACTCAGAGCTCTGCAAAAATCTGAGGGGTGCTTTCAGATTTTTTCCAGTGCGCCCGTAACTTCGAGACAAATTAAAAAGTTCCATGTGCCTGTACTTCACCAGCACCCTTATGCTTCAAACCCGGAACGCAGTAATGCTCACATTACTACTTAACGGCAGAAATACGCAAGGCGGCAGTATTTCTCTGGACGAACCCTCCCACGAGGAGCTCTACTGCTAATACTAAATAAACAAATAACTCACCTAAAATGAATCCTGGATTAAATCCAAGAACTAATATTATTATACTAAAACTAAAAACAGCCATAATTAATACAAAAACGTTGATTGTTGTTAAGATTTATAAATGCACTGCAGTTATTATTGTAACTCTTATTTATCTCTTTTATCTACTAGCAACATAATTGTTTAAGACTATAAGAATCAACTAAGTACTTATACATATTTACGTAACTACTAATACAGGGTGAAGCAAAACGATTTCAAAAGGCCGTTGTGTATAGACAGCTGAACTTAAAAAATAGTTCGTATCCTTGGTATAATGAAGGCACATGCGACAAATGACGCAAAGAAACAATTTCATAATTATGCAAGTAAACACTATTGCGTGGTTCCTGCTTCCTACCCTCTAGGATTTTCTTCCGATTAGCTTTTTAAAACTTATTAGAAAGGATTTTTATAATTATAGAGTCGAGTTAATATATCCTACCTTGGCATAATAAAATCACATGTGATCGTATATCAAAACTGCTACGTAGATGTTCCAGGTTCGATTCCCGGGCAGGGAGAAATATTTATATGGCCTACATTTATTTCTCTCGTGAGTGTGGGTGTAAGTTGTAGTTGTCTATGTATGTATCCATAGCACCCGCGACACAGGGTTTCCCAAATTTTTTTGAGTGTGTGCGTTATTATTATTATATGAGAAATGTTA